CTCCGCCACATTAGGTCGAGATCTACTACTGCACCGACGACCCTCAGCTCCAGTCGCCCCTGCAGGACCGTCACACAGACCAGTAATTGTCGCATTCCAGCAGCGTACTTGCTGGAGCCCATCATCATCCTGTCCGTCGACCTCAGTCTCGCTCTTGCGCTCATTGCCTTCGCCGTCGTCGCCTACGCCGCCATCTTCATCTACGCCTTCTCCCACACGCACTCCACCCTCTACGTAGAGACTTGACGTGAGCACTAGCACCGCGAAGTTCCCTCAGCTCCAGTACCCCGGCAAGAGGCTACAGCCACCACGCCCCGCTTCTCAGCCAACACCGCCGACTGTACAGGCCACCCACACGGCTTCTCTTTAGTCTATCGAACACACGTATCCCTCGATAACGACAGTTTTGAAGAGTGCGACGATAACCCTTGCCCCAACGCGCGCGACTTCCCCCTCCACGGAATCCAAGTCGACGAACAGGACGAACGACCGGTAGACGAGAACAACGACGAGTGGGACTTCGACGTCATCATCCCCTCGTTCCTCTCTATCCTCCGCCGACCACAACCCACCGCACGCTCCCGCTATCGGACACCGCCGTCCTCTCCCACTCTAGCCCACACCCTACAGCCTTTTACCCCCTTTGGCAGTCGCGTAGGTCGCACGCGTACGCAACCCCCCACCAGGCTCCCGTCCCCCTCACTCCGCCCAAACTCCGCACCACCGGTTATCCCCACCGCAACCACTCAACCCACACCCCAGCCTCCGTCAAACCCCATGGAAGCCCAACTCGCACAGCTGGTCGCCAACCAGGCCACTTTGGGCACCACTCTGAATCAGCTGATAACGGCGATGCAAGCCCAAACCCAGGCGATGCGAGCCCAGACCCAAGCCCAGGGTCAACAACAGGCACCGGCGGTCCAGACCGTCAACGCGGAGACCAAGGCCATTGCCAAGCCCACAGCCTTCAAGGGAGAACGCAGCGATGCCCGCCGCTTCCTAGCATACTTCCAGATCTGGGCAAAGGAACAGGGCCGCCCTCTCAACCTCGCGGGCGTACGCCAAGACCGCCTTTGGATCAAGGCCGCCCTCTCCCTGATGGAGGGAGATGCCGCCACCTGGGGCCGTCGCTACGTAGAAGACATTGCGCCTCATGAGGCCGGAGGAGTCAACGCACCTGCCTTCCCCTTCTCTGAGTCGTGGACCACCTTTGTAGACAACTACAAGGTCCGCTGGCAGGCTCAAGATGAGGAAGCGGAGGCACGACATGCCCTAGACAAGCTGTCCCAGGGCACCCTTGGGGTGGCAGACTATGCGGCCCGGTTCCAAGACCTGGCCTCCCGCACCGGCTACTCCGACGCCGACCTCCGTGTCCGCTTCTACGCCTGACTCTCCAACGCCATCAAGACCCAGCTGCTGCCAGTTGAGCTTGCGCATGGCAAGCCAACCGACCTCAACACGCTGGTCAAACGAGCGTGCAAAGCCCAAGACTTGCTCGATGAACTCCGCATGGAGACCGGAGGCTACACCTCGCGCCGCTATGGCAACACGCCCCAGGCCGCCCCTCGCCCCGCGGCCGACCCCTACGCTATGGAGGTTGACGCTACGCACACGGGAAACGGGAAGACCCGAGAGGAGTTCCAGCGCGCCATGACCGGCCGCTGCTTCGGCTGCGGGTCCAAGGAGCACCTGAAGCGAGACGGGAACCACCAGACCGACCGTTGCGGCTATTGCAGTCGCACAGGGCACAAGGAGACGGTTTGCGAGGACAAGTACCTCGGCCGGGAGCGTAACCGAGGTCAGCTCAGCCGCGGGCAAGGCCGACAGCGCGTCGCAGCCAGCAGGCAAGACTCCGCCCCGTTCTCCCTCTTCGCAGAGCCCCCGACCGCCACGGTTGTGGCCTCCGTCCCCGTCGTCGACCAGAACACCACCCAAATCGCGGACCTCGAGAGGATCCTGGCTGAGCAGCAAGCCCTCCTCGACCGTCTCCGCCCGGGTTTTTAAAGTGGGTGCCTGTTACTGCCGCAGCAGAAGCACCCCCATCTCCATACTCTATGTTGTCCACCTCGTTATACGATTCGATTCGAGCATGTACTATAAGAACCGTGAAATCTATAGACCCGTTGTCATCGCATTTCCGGATCCCGGTACAGCTACAAGGACGCAATAGAAGTATGGAGACCACGGCAATGGTCGACTCAGGCGCAACAGCGCTATTTCTTGATCAGCTCTTCGTTGACCAACACAAAATCTCCACTTTCCCTCTCCGCTCCCCCATACGCATCACTAACATTGATGGCTCTCCGAACCGAGCAGGCAATATCTCGCACTTTGCCCGACTACGCCTCACAGTCG